GTAGTCCCAGCTACTCCAGAGGCTGAGGTAGCAGGATCGTGTGAACCCGGGAGGTCAAGGCTGCAGTGAGCTATGATGGAGGCTGCACTGCACTACAGGCTGGAAGACAGAGCAAGACCCTGTCTCTAAAAAACAATAATAGCCAGGTGTGGTGTCTGTAATCCTAGCACTTTGGGAGGCCAAGGCAGGAGGATCACTTGGGTTCAGGAATTTGAGACTAGCCTGGCCAACATGGTGAAACCCTGTCTTTACTAAAAATATGAAAATTAGCTGGGCATGGTGGCATGCACCTGAGGTCCTGGCTACTCCGGAGGCCGACATGGGAGGATGAACCAATCCTCCTGGCCTCAAGCGATCCTCCCGCCTCAGCCTCCCGAGTAGCCTCAAGCGATCCTCCTGCCTCAGCCTCCAGAGTAGCCAGGACCACAGGTGTGCGGCACCACACCTGGCTAATTTTTTCTTCTTTAACCCCTTGAAATCACTCCCCAGGTTGTCCCTGAAAGGAAAGCCGGTTCCTGTTCCGCCAGCAGGGCTGAGGGTTTTGTTAACTGGATATTCCTAGAAACTAGGTTTTATGCAGTCATGCCCCTGGCAAGCCCAAGTCCTAACAGGGCAGCGGACTCTGCTGCCAGAGCCCTTGGGAGCAAACAGCCTCCTGGCCAGGGGATATGAGTCTGTGCAAAGTTCAGATGATGAAACTCCTCACCGTTTCTGCCTGCAAGGGGTGAGACCGCCCCTACCCGCCGCCTTCCCATGCTCACCCACAGCTTTGCAGGCCTTGGTATGGGGGTCCAGCTGGAAGCCTTCCTCACACTGGCACTTGTAGCTCCCCTCCAGGTTCACGCAGAGCTGGCTGCAGGTGTCGGGATCCTGACACTCATCGATATCTGGGAGGCAGAGAAAGAGGCTTGGTGGGGGGACTCCTCCCCAATGGCTGGAAACGGAGCAATGGGACCCAGGCCAAAACCCGTATCTTCGAAGGCAGCCAGGGGACAGCCTGGCCTCTCAAAGGATGTAATCAAGGAAACAGCCAGGTGTCATCCCCAGTCATGACGTGACCTCACCACTCACCACAGGAAAACAACCAAGAGTGTGAAGCTGTATCAGCTGAAATTTCTTTTTTTTTTTTTTTTTTGACGGAGTTTCGCTCTTGTTGCCCAGGCTGGAGTGCAATGTCACAATCTCAGCTCACTGCAACCTCCGCCTCCCAGGTTCAAGTGATTCTCCTGCCTCAGCCTCCCGAGTAGCTGGGATTACAGGCGTGAGCCACCACGCCCAGCTAATTTTGTACTCTTAGTAGAGACGGGGTTTCTCCATGTTGGTAAGGCTGGTGTCAAACTCCCAACCTCAAGTGATCCGCCCGTCTCGGCCTCCCAAAGTGTTGGGATTACAGGCGTGAGCCACCACGCCCGGCCTGAAATTTCTTAATTATTAATCCCCAGAGACAAGAACCTCTGGCCAGCCAATGATAGTTTTCCATGTCTGTGGAATCTCATGAAGCCCTACTAACTGCTTTCAGGCCCACTTAACAGATGGGGAAACTGAGGCACGAGGGGTTTAGTCGCCATGTCAGGAAGTGCAGAGGAGGCCCAGGGCTCAGTCCCACCCGGGAATCACCTTCGCATCTTCGCTGGGCCACCAGCTGGAAGCCGTCGGGACACAGGCATTCGTAGCCGATCTTAAGGTCGTTGCAGATGTGGGAACAGCCACCGTTGTTGTCCAAGCATTCGTTGGTCCCTGCGCGGGGCCAGGGGACACAGACTGGTCACTCTCAGGCCCCCACCCATCCCTTCACTGCCAATCTTGGCTCACTACAACCTCTACCTCCCGGGTTCAAGTGATTCTCATACCTCAGCCTCCCGAGTAGGTGGGACTATAGGCATGCGCCACCACGCCCGACTACTAATTTTTTTGTATTTTTTAGCAGAGACGGGGTTTCTCTCTCTCTCTTTTTTTTTTTTTTTTAAGACGGAGTTTCACTCTTGTCGCCCAGGCTGGAGTGCAATGGCACGATCTCGGTTCACTGCAACCTCTGCCTCCTGGGTTCAAGTGATTCTCCTGCCTCAGCCTCCTGAGTAGCTGTGACTACAGGCACCCACCACCAAAACCGGCTAATTTTTTTGTATTTTTACTAGAGATGGGGTTTCACCACCTTGGCCAGGCTGGTCTCGAACTCCTGACCTCAGGTGATCTGCCTGCCTTGGTCTCCTGAAGTTCTGGGATTACAGGCGTGAGCCACCACACTTGGCTCAGTGAAATAAGCCAATGAAAAAAGGAAAATGCTGTCTGATTCCACTCAAAGGAGGTCCCTAGAGCCATCATAGAGACAGAAAGTAGAATGGTAGGTGCCAGGAGTTGGGGAGGGGATGGGGAGTGAGTGTTTCATGGGGACAGAGCTTCAGTTTGGGAAGATAAAAGATTTCTGGGGCCAGGCGCGGTGGCTCATGCCTGTATTCCCAGCACTTTGGGAAGCCGAGGTGGGAGCATCGCTTGAGGTCAGGAGTTCGAGACCAGCCTGGCCAACATGATGAAACCCAGTCCGTCTCTACTACAAATTCAAAATTTAGCTAGGCATGGTGGTGGGCACCTGTAATCCCAGCTACTCAGGGGGCTGAGGCAGGAGAATAACTTGAACCTGGGAGGTGGAGGTTGCCGTGAACAGAGATCACACCACTGTACTCCAGCCTGGGTGACAGAGTGAGACTCCATCACAAACAAAATTTTAAAAAAGAGTTCTGGAGATGGTGGTTGTGATGCTGTACAACAGTGTGAATGTGCTAATGGCACAGAACTGTGCACTTACTAAGGTTTAAGACGGTAAATTTTATATTACATGTTTTTTGCTGCAGTTTAAACATATGTATATAAAACAACAAAAGTCTGGGCGCTGTAGCTCATGCCTATAATCCCAGAACTTTGGGAGACCAAGGCGGGCAGATAGCTTGAGCCCAGGAGTTCAAGACCTGCATGAGCAAACGGTTTTTTGTTTGAGGCGGATTCTCACTCCGTCGCTCAGGCTGGAGTGCAGTGGTGGGATCTTGGCTCACTGCAACCTCCACTTCCTGGGTTCAGGCGATTCTCCTGCCTCAGCCTCCTGAGCAGCTGGGATTACAGACGCGCGGCACCACGCCTGGCTAATTTTTAATATTTTTAGTAGAGACGGGGTTTCACTATGTTAGCCAGGATGGTCTCGATCTCCTGACCTTGTGGTCTTCCCGCCTCGACCTCCCAAAGTACTGGGATCACAGCCGTGAACCATCCTGCCAGACCTAAAAATGGCTTTTCCATGTTTAAATACTTGAGAAGAAAAATAAAAATAAAAAGGGAAATCATTTTTGTGACACAAAACAGTTATACGGAATTCCAATTTCAGTGTCCATAAATAACATTTTCTGGGCCCACAGCCACATGTATTGGTTTGCGTTCTGTGGGTGGTGGTGCTCACCCAACAGCCATGTTGAGAAACTGCACCAGAGACCGTATGGCCCACAGTGTCCAAAATATTTACTTTTTTTTAGAGATAGGGTCTCTTACTCTGTTGCCCAGATTGAAGTGTGGTGGTATTCACAGCTCACTACAGCCTGCAAGTCCTGGGCCCAAGCGATCCTCCTTCCTCAACCTTCTGAGTAGCTGAGACTACAGGAGTGTGCCACCGTGCCCAGGCCCTCTCTGGTATATGACAGAGAAAACTTCCCACTGCATTCTCTGTACTGTACGGTTATCCTAATAGGGTCTTTCAGTATCCACCACAGAGGGTTGGTAAAAAAAAAACAAAATCTCACCAGGACAAGGTGGCTCACGCCTGTAATCCCAGCACTTCAGGAGGTGGGTGGATCACTTGAGGTCAGGAGTTCGAGACCAGCCCGGCCAACATGGTGATACCCCGGCTCTACTAAAAATACAACAATCAGTACAGCATGGTGGCATTCACCTGTAATCCCAGCTACTTGGGAGGCTGAGGCAGGAGAATTGCTTGAATCTGGTAGGTGGAGGTTGCACGGAGCCACGATCACGCCATTGTGCTCTAGCCTGGGAGACGGTGCGAGACTGTCTCAAAATAAAAAAAAGGAGCCCTTTGCACAGGGTGGGCAGCGTGGAGTTCCCAAAACCCTACAGCACTCATTTCTCAGTTCTATTCCTGGCTCCCCACAAACTCTGCAAGCCGCCTGCACCTGACTCACCACACTCCTTGATGGGTTCATCTGACCAGTCCCGGCAGTCTCTAGCCATGTTGCAGACTTTGTCCAGGCTGATGCATTCGCCGCTGTGACACTTGAACTTGTTGGGCCCCTCGCAGAGTGTCACTGTGAGAGCCAGAGAGAGGAAGGAGGAAGGTCAGGTGTGTCTGACCCGCAGTCTGCTTGGCGCTCATTCATATAATAGTTTATTCACATAAGAACGCATGCAAATGGACTCATTAAGAAAGCGCATCGGGCACAGAGGTTTGCGCCTGTAATTCCAGCACTTTGGGAGGCCGAGGCAGGCAGATCGCTTGAGCCCAGGAGTTCGAGACAAGCCTGGGCAATATGGTAAAACCGCATCTCTACTAAAAATACAAAACAATTAGGCCTGGGGTGGTGGCTCATACCTGTAATCCCAGCACTTTGGGAGACCAAGGCAGGTGGATCACCTGAGGACAGGAGTTCAAGACCAGCCTGGCCAACATGGTGTAATCCTGTCTCTAATAAAAATACAAAAAATTAGCCTGGCATGGTGGCATATGCTTTGAATCTCAGCTACTCGGGAGGCTGAGGCAGGAGAATCACTGGAACCCCAGAGGCAGAGGCTGCCGTGAGCTGTGATTGTGCCACACTACTCCAGCCTGGGTGACAGAGCGAGGCTCCACCTAAAAAAAAAGGAAGTGAGGCTCTGGGAACTCAGGTCACTTGCCCACAGACACACAGCTGGTGCAGAGTTGACCAGGGAAGTGCCCTCTGGCTTCACAAATCATTTGCAAGCAGTAAGGCATGGAGAATGGGGGATGGGAAAGCAGATGGCCAGCGCTCACCGTTAATGCAGCCAACTTCATCGCTCATGTCCTTGCAGTCATATTCCCGGTCACACTGCCGGCTGCCATGGATGCAAGTTCCATCAGAGCACTGGAATTCGTCAGGGCGACAGGTGGCCACAGCTGGAAAACAGGATAGAGTGTGTTGATTTTCTCAAGAAGAGACAACCAGAGGCCGGGCGCAGTGGCTCAAGCCTGTAATCCCAGCACTTTGGGAAGCCGAGACGGGCGGATCACGAGGTCAGGAAATCGAGACCATCCTGGCTAACACGGTGAAACCCCTTCTCTACTAAAAAATACAAAAAACTAGCCGGGCGAGGTGGCGGGCGCCTGTAGTCCCAGCTACTCGGGAGGCTGAGGCAGGAGAATGGCGTAAACC